TCCGGTCAAGATGCCAGATAGGAAAAAAAAAATTGTCGGGTATGTCATGTGAACATGCTGAAACCTTACTATGACAGGAAATGGGAACTGGACGGACAGGTATTAGTTATTGCCACTCAGAGCAAGGAATCAAATCCGACGATTTGTATTTTGATGTGCTTCAGAATAAACTGAATAATGAGGAAGTCCTTAAAAATGGAATAGGATAGTAAGCTATCTGTCTCAGGAACACAGAACTGAATTGAAAGACTTGTTGCAGTACAATGAGGACAGATGTAGAAATAGAATGTGGAGGACTAATACTATAGCACACGAAGTGGACGTAAGGAATGCTGTTCCGATAAAGCAACACCCCTACAGGCTTAATCCTCTCAAAGCAGCATGGGAACAGAAGGAAGAGATGCTCCAAGAAGATAGCGTGGAACCAAGTCAAAGCGAGTGGAGTTCGCCTGTCGTGTTGGTTCCCAAACCTGACAGTACTCAATGATTCTGCATAGATTATCGTAAGGTCAATGCCATGACCAAATCTGACTCATACCCAATTCCAAGGCTGGAAGACTGTGTCGAAAAAGTAGGGCAAGCCACTTACATCACTAAGTTAGACTTACTTCACAGTTATCGGCAAGAACCTTTGTCAGAGAGAGTGAAAGGAGTTTCTGCATTTGTAATCCCTTTGGAATGAAGAATGCACCAGCCACATTTCAAAGACTTATGAACAGATTTGTGGCAGGATTGACTAATTGTGCCATCTATATAGATGACTTAGTAATCTTTAGCCATTCATGGAAAGATCACATGGTGCATTTGGCAGAACTTTTTAACAGACTACAGAAGGCAAAGGTGGTCATAAATTTGGCAAAGACAGAATTCGCAAAGGCGGAAATGATGTTCTTAGGACACAACATCGGACGTGAACGGATGACACCAAGGAATGTGAAAAGGCCATCGAGGAATTTCCAAGACCATCCTCAAAGAATGAAGTGCTATGATTTTTGGGACTGAGTGGATTCCATAGGAAATTTATACCAAGCTTTAATAGCGAGGTGGCACCGCTGACGGATTTGTTAAAGACGAACATGAAATTCCGGTGGACAGAACAATGCCAGGAAGCATTTGATAATTTTAAAGTAGTGTTAACCGCCACACCAGTTTTACCCGCACCAAATTTCTTGAAGCTCTTTAAAGTCACTATCAACACATACGATGTAGGGTTGGAGCTGTGTTGTTACAGGAAGATGACTGTACAATTGAAAGGCAAATTGGGTATTGTTCAAAGAAACTCAATATCCACCAGAAATAATACTCAAGCATTGAAAAAGAGTTATTGAGCTTGGTACTGGGCTTACAACATTTTAATGTTTGTGTTGCGAACAAGGTATCAGAGATGGTTGTGTACACTGATCACAACCATTGACGTTTTTGGAAAGATGTAAAGACAAGAACATAAGACTATTTCGTTGGAGTCTTATGCTACAGGTATTTATTTTATAGATTATACATGTTGCAAGTCATGAAAATGTTATTGCGGATGTGTGGGTTTAAAAGAAAAATGTGTACATCAGATGGAAACGGTAGTATTCAATGTTATATAGAATTCGTATGAAAGGTGTAACTCTAGATTAATGACCTATGGATCTAGCAATAATGGCATTAATATTTAGAGAAAAAAAAACATCTTTTCATCATGGTGGTTCATTTTTTTATTAAGGTGGGAGGTGTTGTGAAGTTGGGTAGAGTATTTGCGGATTGAAAGGCAAGACGTTAGAATTTGATGATTGTAAAATGATAGGTGGGAAAGAGTGCACGGTCCCTTTAAAAGATGATGTGCTTTTTCTAGGCTTAGAGATTTAAAAAACAATGTGCAGCTGTACAAAGAGTTCCTGAAATTGAAACAGTAGACTGTGTGATTACCAACCAGGCAGTAGTTTGTTTAGGCAATCAGTTTGAATATCAACCAATTAATTTTAACCAGAAACTTAAGAGACTAAAAAAAACCAATTAAATTTAAATCTGATGGCGTTGACAACCTAGGACCAATCCCATTATAATAAATTGATCAGTCATCAAGGGTATAAAAGAGAGTATTTGAAAATTGGTGTGAGAGCAACTGCCAAGTACTAGAGTTAACAACCCATCAGCTTTCACAGAATCTCTAAGTCCTCAGATTAACCATCATCTAACTAAAGGTATATTAGCACTCTTAGCTAATATTCCTGACACCAGAAGTTGATGGAGAAAGGTGTTTCTGACTGAGGATCAGCTCAGAGGGTACGGAGCATTCCGGAAGATGTATCCTGGCTGCAATTTTGAGGGATCAAGTTTTTTTTTAATCTTAGTTTATATAAGTGAGACTTGTATTTATTGGAACAGCGTACCATTAGAGTTTTGTTTTATTTGGGAATAGTTAGTAGTTAAGGGGGAATCACTGGGTTTATTAGTAGTTCTGTTAATTTGTTCACTGTTAGAGTTAGATAAGTAAATAGTTACTTGTTGATTATAGAGTGACTGTCAGGAGGTCATTTCATTTAACTTCCACTTTATAACAGATTTTGGAAGCGGGGAGCGAGAGGGAGGTTATATCACTTTTCACACTTCTTTTAACAGATTATAAACTGAGGCAAGCCTCTCTGGGTGTTTTGGTTATTCAGAAGGGGGTTGACCTCTCCTTCGTAACATACCTTAGGGATGGGGTCAACAGCCTGGAGGTTAGGGACGGAAGAGGGATGGAGAAATCAGGTGCCCTTTGGAACTGTGAACTGTGGAGATGAATTTGTGCCAAACATACATAAATCTCCTGGAACTGTCCAGCTTAGCAAGAAGTGCCAACAAGTGTCAGCCTATTTAGAAGTGTCAAGATGTATATTTATGAATGAGTGCACTTTTCTCAATATAGTGTAGTCTTCAGCACAGAAATTTAAGAACTGCAACACTTTTCTTTCCTCCAATGAGCACAGCCATGCCAATGTTGGATAATAGATGAGTCAACATGGAAAAGGAAGGGTAAAGGATGGTGGGTGGGGGTTACGAGTCAGTACTGAGTGCCATAGAAGCAAAAAGGGATCTTGGGAATGACTGGGCCAGATGGGATATGAGGCGCCAGGGAAGATGGTGTATGGCAAAAATGGGACAGTGGGTATGAGGGCCAATAGTCTTTCAACTTTAACCACAGTGCAGGAGTTTGGATGTGACAACAAAATTTAAAAATAAGGGGTTTTTTTTCTTTCAGTTTGCAAATCTTTTGAACGAATTTGCTCAGATATCACTACAAGTTAGGAGTCATTGAATAATTTTACAGCAGAGGTAGGCAGATTCTTGACTAACAAAGGAATCAATGCTTATTGGCAGTAGGCAGGAATGTTTTTTTTTAAGTTCATTCACAGGATGAGGGACTCACTAGCTGGGAAAGCATTTACTGCCCATCCCAGAGGTCAATTAAGAGACAACCGTATTGCTGTGGTTCTGTAGTCACATAGTTGGAAGTTTCCTTCTGTAGAGGACATTAGTAAAACAGATAGGATTTTCCTGACAATCATGGTCATTATTAGACTCTTAATTCCAGATTTTTATTGAATTCAAATTCCACTATCTGCCATGGCAGGAATCAAATCCAGATCCCCAGAACATTACCTGGGTCTGTGGATTAATAGTGTAGTAATAATACCAGCAGGCCATTACCTCCTCATACGTAATCAGAGGCCACAATCAGATAAGCCACAATCTTACTGAATGGTGGAGCAGGCCTAACAAGGCCAAATAATCTACTTCTCCTAAATCGTTTATTCATAGATTCAAAAGTTCAAAAGCCACAAGAACAATGCTGGTAGCTAGACTGTTGTTGCTGAGAATGATGGTGGGCCTTCTAACCAACCCACCTCAGTACTCTCACTCCTAGCACAATGCATTGTGGCTTGTAAACTGCACGTTGCCCTTGCGTGAGAAATCAAGAATCCCAAGCAAAGTCAGATGTGAGGCGGGTGTGAATTTCTGAAGCTGCAAAAGGGCCAGACTCATATTTTGCAAACTGGGAATGAAAAGCTGCCTGAATGAGGGACAGAAGTAACAGAACATGCGTCAGCACAGGTAATGATGATGTCATTAAATTTTTTTCCCGAATGCTAAGCACCAAATTATTTTTGTTCTTGATAAATGCTGAATGAAGAATATACATTATTTGATATGCAAAACAATGATTGAGAAGACTGAAAGCTTGGAATAGCTCAGCCAATGAATTCATGTAGGCTACAGGAGTCTACTGATTCAGAACAAGACTTTTTTGTGGCACATCAGCGCCAGTCTATTATTTGTCATTTTTCATTTGTGAACTATTCTGAACAAGAATTCTGGGTAAGAGTTCTTCTTTCTCCGAGGTGTCAGCCTAAGTTCAGTGGCTGCGTTCATCTCTGAGTTTAAAAGATTGAGTTGAAGTCCCATAGCACAAGCTAGACTGCGTTAACTAGGCTGAAAACCCAAATTCAGTACTGGTTTAGTCCTACACTTATGGATGCAGCACCTTTTGGATATGACATTAAACCGAGGCTTTGTTACCTTTACAGGTGGAGGTAAAAGACATGACATTACTTTGGAAAATAGCATGAACACTACCAATGGTTTTAGAGAAGGAGTCCTCTGCCGTACAAATCTCACAAGGATCAACAGAAATGGAAAGGGAAATAACATTGTTTATTTTCCTCAGCCATTCAAGTTAATTAAGTCATCATTTTTAATCTAAAATCTAATTAGCATATTTACTTAAACAAATCAATAGAGTTGCATGTTAAATGCTAATTATGCTTTTTTTCCCAAAATAGATGATATGATTTATCCAATAATGGGTATAAATGGAGGACAGTGAAATTTTTTTCATGCGCAACAAAGGATGATGTAATCATTTTATTGGACATTCTGAAAGGAGCTCCTGTTCAAATTGAAGCAGACTACTGAAGAATGTCATTGCACAGTACTAGAAATACACTAGTGTGTTTGTACATTGATGCACTTACTGCTTTCAGATCCAGAGGGGAAACACTGACGCACAGAGGTAGGAAGGTTTTCCATAAATCTGAATATAAGAATAGCAAATGCATTATAATAAGTCACAGTAAACTTTCTGACAATAAAAGGTTGTTCGCTATAAAATCTCAGAACATCGAGAAAACATGTAAAAGTTTAATATTTTAAATTCAACTCTAATTATCATAATAGTCTTTCAGTGCATTTAATATTTCATTACAGATTATAGCAAAAAACTTCATAAAGGCTCAAGCATATTAATTTTCATCTCAAAAATATGAAATTAAGTTTTTCTTGCTATTTCATGTTAAAAATGTTTTATCGCAAACCTAGTCATTGTAATTATCTGCATTAATGCTGGACTTGGGGAGACTTCGGATATCACACATAATATGTATTATTATCCATATTTTAAAAATCTCTCTCTAGATTTGATAACCTTTAATTAAATAATAAATTTTTACACACAAAAATTACATCACAATGCAATTTTAAGACTTTGGATATGGAGTTTATACGTGCTAATTATGATACATGCACTGGTTACCAGATTTAATTCTTCATCTAGTGAGTTTTGAGTTATTTTCCATTTTTAGTGATCTAAGGGACAAATAAGAACAGAAAAACACAGGAAAAGGAGTAGGTCATGCAACCCCTTGAGCCTGTTACAACATTCTATGACATCATGGCGTTTCTGTGGCCTAACTCCATGTGGCACCCTTTGGCCAAAATCCCTCAAATGTTTGAACAAAATTTTTCTCTGAGATTTAAAACTAACACCTGATGCAGCATCCCCTGATGTTTGATGGAAGAGAGAGTTTCAAACACCTACCAACCTTTGTGTGTTGAAATGCTTTCTAACATCTGGCCCTAATTCTGAGACTATGCCCCCTAGTTCTAGAATCCCCAAGCAATGGAAACAATTTATCTATCCTGTCTTTTCCTGTTAATATCTTGAAGACTTCAATCAGATAACCTCCTAAACTCTAGCGAAAATAAACTTAACTAATATAATCTTTCCTAATGACTTAACATCTAAAGTCCAGGCATCGTTCTTATAAATCTACGTTGTACTCCCTCCAAGGCCAATATGTCCTTCCTAAAGTGTGGTGGTCCAGATCTGCTCACAGCGCTGCAAATAGAGTCCAACCAGGGTTTTGGATAACTGTAGCATAAATTCTGCATCCTTACACTCCAGTCCTCTAGATATACAGGCCAGTATTCTATTAGCTTTCTTGTTTAGTCTCCGCACCTGTTTGTGACATTATTTTTTAAAAAAAATCTTTCCCCAGCTTTCAAAAACATTATTCCACCCTCCTTTCATCTCCATTTTCTTCCTTCTGATTGCAGCTGGTCTTTAAGAGCTGCTTTGGATTTTCCAAACTCTACCGACTAATGTCTCCTTTAATGGTATCTTGGCGACTACTGTCAACTACCAAGTACTTTGAAATTCTTATGCTATGACAATTTTTTAAAAGTTTTTGTTTTTAGGATTCTGTTCTACTGGTTAAGGTTCAAGTATCTGCTTCTGTTTGTTTTTCTTATTTTAGACTTATTCACACTTTCCAAAACAACTTATATACAATGGAGGAAAGGTTTTGAAACACTTTCAACTTTAAATATCAAATTTAAGGAAATTAGAATAGATCATCTAATTTCTTCATATCTTAAATAAACATCATCTTTAATTTAGTACTTTTATTTGAATGTAAAGAAACTACAGTGTTCCTGAAATTGACAATGTCAAGAACTTACATACCGTTTAAGTGCTCTAAATAATGTAACTCAAAAGTGTGTATATCTAAGTGCACATTAATGGAACGGAATTTGCAGGTAGCTTTGTCAAAAACACCAAATACTTTGAAATTACTACAATATTTCTAATGACAATTGAAGTAATTATTATTGCAAGTGAAAATAATACTTGGATTGCCTGGAGGTGAAAAGAGATTGTCTAAAGTCACAGATGAGCTTTCAAGTTTTGTTTTTGAATCCATTATAATAAACCTCAAGACAGTTATTACAAAACTCATACTTGATTTTAGCTTCTTGAACTGCTACAGGATCCTTCACTTTCTGCTCCCAGGGCAGCTTCCCACACAGCCACTGTAGCATGCAGTAGCCAAGGATTTCCAGGTCACCTCGTCTGGATGGGGCTAAGGGAACGTGATTAAGGAAAGGGAATTAAGAATGAAGGATTAAAAGTCACTCAAGGCAAAAATAGAGAAAGCTTTCATTTAACTCCTGTTGATGAAATGTGTAAAATTCAAGCAGGCAAGTGTCTTGTTTGTTCAGCTGTATTGGAGTTGGAACGCCCAGGTTTTTGGCTGTGGTTCATAGACAAGCTGTGACTTGTGCAGTAAAAGCAGGGGTCAGTTTCCTTACCTCCCCTAACCTCATCCTTCCTTAGTCTGGCCTGTCACATGAACTTGATCCCAGTGGCCTCTGACATGATCCAGACAGCTCATAATCCAGCACCAACACTTGCTCAAAGAGCCAGCAGTAAAACAAAGAAATAAATGTCTGCTTCTAAATTACTAACATATGTTGCAGGAAGTCCACAGGATCTGAATCACCCGTACAGAGACCCCGCTCACAGACTAAACAGTGATGGCCTTTCCTTTGCTATACAAGTGCTAAAAGTTTGAGGCAATGGCAAAACTGCCATCTAGTGTAGAATAGAAATGACAAAAAATAATACTTAAGGTGATTTGTTCGGTTTGGCAGTACATCTTCCAAATAAATAAATTGTTTATTAATTAAACTGTTGAACACAGGAATCACTCACTTGAATTGTATTAAATCTACCAATTGATGTTTATTGAAAATGCAATTTTATATAGCACAAATGTTGGAGAACTTTATCCTAACTCTTAATCTACTAGGATACACCAAAGCTGGCTTCTGTACCTTAACGCTCGACACGCAATCCCTTGGGAGGATTATTATCTGTTGTTACAATCTGACATGGATAAAATAGTGGCCAGTCATGGAACATGGCTCCTACATTACAACCAATTTACCCTGCATTGCAACTCCATTTTCTGAGGATTTCTCAGGCTACAGGTCTTCTATTAATTTTGTGGAATGATAACCCCTTATTTTAAATCTGTTATTCCACATCTAGTTCAACAAATACCAAATTGATATTTGCTCATTTTTATAAAACTATTGTGATCCAAAGTACAAATTCACAGGCTCCTAGAATCCCCCTTTGAACGTGGACTACTCACGCTCTGCAGGTGGATCTCCAAAAATGTCCAAGACACTAGCATCTAAATCTCACTGATTAAAAGTAGTATGCAACCATGCTACTTTTCCCATTATGAATGCTGCATCACAGACTAGAAACCATAAACTACACCATCATAAAGAGAAAGCATTGGAATGTGTAGCATTAATGGCTCAGAATTCATTGTTGGGAACATTAAACAGTGTATAGGATTTTTATAAGGTTGGAGTATTTTCTTTATTTGACAGAGGATATATTAGACAGGCAGAAAGAAAGGTGGAAATGCTCAATATATTTCGGAAAATGTAATACCAACTTGTCGATTGTATTATTCACAATAAGGATGGGCTGTTTGTGCACAGAGCTAATGAGTTAAATGCCATCACCAACTCAATGAGCCAAATCTCTCCTTTTATGCAGTAACAATTCTATGAATCGATGATATCAAGTCTTTAGCAAAACTAAAAATATCTAATTTTGTCTGCAGGATAGAATGGCAGCTCATTATTGAATCTCAATTCTGAGAGTTTCATTTCTTATTATAGCATGTGTTCATGTGACCTCCTCCACAAATGTCACAACTACTACACAGTATCTAGCTCCAAAAATTACTTAACTACTGGAAAATAATGTCATAGGATAACCTGATCCAATCCAATGATATCTAATCTTATAAATGAATTAAATCCAACTGAGTTGTTTTGAGATGTTTGGCTGTGGCAGAATGGCAGTTCTTTTTGCTTGAGTCAAATGTTGCATGGTCAAGGGCCAATTCTGAGATCAGAGCACATAATCTAAAGTGGCACCTCAGCACTGTATTGAAGGAATGCTTCACTCGTGAAAGTGCCTTTTTGTACAGATATGAAACCAAGGCACAGAAAGTTCTGCCACTAGCCAACATAGCAGATTGCTGGCATTTATCCGGCCACTGAGCCATTTTTAAAGACACTGGGTAAGATATGAGTTGGTTGCCCACCAAGTGTCTTGAGTGCTGAGGCCACTGAAGGGCATTAATAGTCCCTTCTCCTGCATCAGCTGGAGGTTTGCAGCCAGCAGGTGCCCTGTAGTAGGTAAAACACAACCAGAGAAAAACAGGTGGCTTCGAGGTTGTAGAAAAGGAGCCTGAGCTCCAGTTCACTTTTCAAGCTTTGACCTATTCAGCTGACCTAAAAGTGGCTGTAGGCCATCCTGTGGAGGAGTTCCACAAAGAAGCTCTTACAGCAGTGAAGATGTTCAAGCTGTATGATTCTAAAACCACTGAAAGAGTGTCTCCATCTTGAGTCAATGTGTGTGTCTCTCTCTCTCTCTCTCTCACACATATACCAATAAAAGTGGCTACAGCTCTTCCACAGCTGGACAGATTCTTATACAGTCCTGCAGCATAAGGGACTCCCTGCTATTCTTAACTGAATGGTGAGAGCTCCCTCTGGTCACTCTTTGACCTTTCAATTAAAAATGTGGACCTGAATGTCAGCCCGGCTTTGAGGTCCCAGTGCTGGACCAAAAATTCAGTCCATTATGTTGACATCAATCTGAATTGTTATTGCCAGGTGTATTATTTTGTCCGTATGCATAGACATGGTTTTATGAAGTTTGAGCTAGATTAGAAATTGTAATACCTTGATGCACTGATGCTGATTATCATTTCTATTGTTCTAGGTTTGGGCAAGGCATTACATCATTTTCAGTCAAAATGATTTTATCTTCAGAAGCATGGATAGGATGAGTTTCAGAGTTGTGAAAAGGGACGTTACATCTCCTAGTCGTTAAGAACATAACAAATAAGAACAGGTCCCTCAAGCTTGCTCCATTGTTCAATGAGATAATCTCACCTTGTAGGGCAATTCCTGCATTGCAGAAATCCCTTGCTGCATTTTCTCTAAGGCAAGCATATCTTCCCTACGTGATTGATTGATTGTCACATAGTGAAAAGCTTTGTTTATGAAAGGTGCAGGCAGATCACAGCAAGCAAAGGATGTACAGATCAAAAATACTTAGTGGCATACAGGTTACATTATTTGAGGCTACAGTCCTTCTCAACATCTCCCATCACCTAAAGCATAGTGACCCTCAGGTTAAACCATTACCAGTCATTTCTGTTTCTAACGGGAGAGCAGCCCTACGGTCTGGTAGGATGTGGCAACTTTACCTCTACTATGTTGTGCATGTTGGTGCCTGCAAATTGTTTGATCTCGGTGGTTAGTGGTGGTGGTGGGATTTGGTGGGGAGAGTGAGAGAGAGGGAAGGGGATGGTCAACTAAAACTGCCAACCCTGAAAGCAACAGTTTTAAGATGACATTGCCATGTTGAAGGATAGCATCATTGATTAAAGGAATCATAATCCTTAGAAAATAGTAACTAAATAATTTAATGTTGATTGATAGTAGTAGTTGGAGAGCTCACGAGAGGGAGCTTGAGCAAAATAAATTGTTTGGCTAAGGACTGAAGATTAATTTGGCTTTGTGTGTGGGAAATCGTGTCTCACTAACTTGATTGAGTTTTTTGAAGTAACGAAGGGGATTGATGAAGGCTGAGAGGTGGACATTATCTATATGGACTTCCGTAAGGTGTTTGACAAGGTTCTTCATGGTAGACTGGTTAGCAAGGTTAGATCACATGGAAGATGGAGAACTAGCCATTTGGATCCAGAACTGGCTCGAAGATAGAAGACAGAGGGAGGTGGTGGAGGCTTGCTTTTCAGACTGGAGGCCTGTGTCCAATATTGTGCCACAAGGATCAGTGCTGTGTCTGTTGCTTTTTGTGATTTGTATAAATGATTTGGATGTGAATGTAGGAGGTATGGTTAGTAAGTTTGCCAAAATTGGTGACCAAAATTGGTGGTGTACTGGACAGCCAAAAGAGGAGAAAGATTCAAAAGGGACCCAAGGGGCAACCTTTTCACACAGAGAGTGGTGCGTGTATGTAAGGAGCTGCCAGATGAAGCGGTAGAGGATGGTACAATTACAACATTTAAAAGGCATCTGGCAGGGTATATGAATAGGAAGCGTTTAGAGGAATATGAGCCAATTGCTGGCAAATGGGACTAGATTAATTCAGGATATCTGGTCAGCATGGACGAGTTGGGCCGAAGAGTTTGTTTCCATGCTCTACAGCTCTACGACTATCTTTTCATTATCACTGATTTCTTTATTAAGTAACATTATCACATAGTTACATTAGGTTCTATATTTGTGTTGATATTTAGGTTTTGCACAGAAGCAGAGTTCAAAGTATTCAACAATATCCTCAATAAGTATCAACCTGATTAAACCTAAAGCTACAATACACAAGGAAGGCTTTAGTTTCCGAGATGTCACAGAATTTTAAACCAGCTCAAAAAACATATGTAAATTAGCAAAAGTATTTTTTCAAAATAAGCGACATATACTTCTGCACACAAAAAGCCATCACCCAAAACAACCTTCTATGGAATGATGACACAGCTAAGGTATTTCTGTTGCATATGCACAAAGCTGAACTATTTTATACAGGGATTTACTACTTTTGTGAAACTATATCTGAGGTCTCAATCACAGATTTAAATGGAACAACTGACTCAGGGTCCATAACAATTGCATCCATTACAGTCTTCACCATACAGCAGCTCTTAAATAGCCATAAGCTGGAGGTACTACATTCATTTGCAAGTAATTCATTATCTCCATGACTTCAAATTTTCCTATCTCTTAGTTTGCTCAGTACTCAGTGCTCACTTGCTGATACATTTAAAATGGTTCTCTCTTCTTTCAACTTCTTTCTCCCTTCTCTTCCTTTTCAGCATGGCTCTTTCTCCCACCCAATCTCCCCAAGGTTTTTTCTCTCTCTCCCATTCTCCCCATAGCTCTGTGTAGGCCTACTGTTGATTTGCACGGTTTCTACTTTTTTTAATCTGGAAGAATCCTCTATTATTATTAGTTCAAAGTCTTATCTTTTGTTAAATGTAGAAGTCACCATTTTAATTAACAGATCCAGACTAAAAAGTCCAGATTATGCCAGAGTTTCAAAAATCATTTCAAAAAAGTCTTTCCTTCTGCCCTGGACAGTTTTGAGAATTTGCCAGTAAATTCTAAGTTGTAGATTCATAAAATTGGAAGGCAAGGTTTGGTAGACCACAGCAGCATACCTGTCTCAAACTTCAATGGCTGTGAATATAAAATCTCATGTCCTTCAATCACCTGCCAACATACATATTCAAGAGTTCACATCAGATACTCAACATGGTGATCTATTGGGATTGCATGTTATTGTCTGACTTTTAATTCAAGGAACTCTTTGTAGCCATATTGCTTCACTTGGCTCCAAGCTCCCCACCTCCGTTCCTCATTTCCCTCACCCTAACACACAAACCCCCCAGAGCGCTTCATTCTAGAGTGAATTTGAAACTTATTTCAAACTGGTGAGAAAAATATTCTTGAGTAGCCATAATCATTCATACTCCATTTCCTAGTAACTTAGATGGCAACTGAGCAAACACCCTCTCGTTTCCTTCACTTTACACAATGGGACAATCGACGGTGGCCTGTCATAAAGGTAGGTTAGTGTCTGGAGTTCTTCTTAAAGGTTTCACTATAGGCAGCAGGATAATTGTAATATATCAAATGACATCTAAGCACATCATTGTGATAAAGAGAAACAAAGGGCTGAATCTTAACATTTGTTTTGGAAAACTGCACGTCACATCAAGTTATATGGAATAATTCACACTGTAAGGCCTTGCAAGTTTTCTTGCCATATCTTACCAACCGCACCGTTTTAATTGCTGTTTGAGCCCTCCTGGTGAGAATCACACCTACATTCCACCCCATCGTGCTACGCACCATTCCCAAAACAACTTGCCGCTCAGTAGAGATCCTCCCTAAGACCAGCATCCCTTGCAACAGGGTCATCTTTTAAAGCCGATTGCATACCCCAAGAGGTGCTGCCATCTGGAAGCTGTAGGGCTCAGCCATGGAAGGATTAAGGAGAGATAAAGATGGGGAGGTTGGCACCATGAGAAGTCCCTATGAATGGGATAGTAGAGAGGACTGCTCTTTCTGGAGGCCCAGCAGTGGAAGCCATGCCACCAGACTCTGCCAGAGTGGCCAGAAATTGCCAGACAGATTAGTGCCATCTCCATGATAAGGAGTGAAATAACTCCACAGAGGCCAGTATCCCATCACCAAGTCTTCTTTTATTTACATGTGGAGATTCCTTGACACTGATCCAGCTTCCTCAGAGCCAGCTCTCAGATTGAACAGAACCACTGACATTCCTGTTCTTATCTGTCAGCCAGGGCTCCCTGACTGGACTAGACTAACAGCCCCTATTAGGGAACTCATGCTCTTTGAGATGTACCTGGCTGACTTCACTGCGATCAGTACAAGGAAGATCACAAAGCAGTGTGGGTCAATGGTCTTCTCTGCTTTGCCAGCGTAAGTGCAACATTCTGCTCTCTGCTGCCTCACACTATTTGTGCCACCACATCTACCTCCCAATAATACTTAAGCTCTACCACCCACTCTGTTATTGTGCAACACCTTCCCTCACTTAACGCTTGTTACCCCCCTCCATTTTCGCAGACTATTAACGCAGCGTAGCCTCTGCAGTACCTTCTCACTCCCCTGGAACACCTCAACACTTTTCCCCCACATATACCACCCTAAAACCTGTGCCATCCACTTGCATCCTACTCATTCAGCCCCTTTGTGTCATTACAAGAGAAGAAATCCCATCACAGGGTGAGGCATCATAGGGCAGGCAGAGAAGGGAGTGATATCTACCCCCTCTGAGGAAAAGCATTCTTGTATTAGCAGGAAAAGACAGCGACTGCTCTTCTGGGGATACAGAGACCTCCAATTCCAGACACACAAGTGAGCATATGCAACATTAACCATGTGTCAAACTCCATGACTGCAAAGTCTTCTGCCTCATATTTATTACAGGTAGACCCATCCTTCGAAGGACCAGCCTGTCCCCCTTAGAGGGAGTGTGAACATGTCAGAGACACTATCATCCAGATTGGCCCCAGAACTCCCTGTTGGATAATGACATCTCAGCAAATACCATAAGAGCACACAGGAAGTTTCAGACACTGACAGCTCTGTGTATGACTGAGGGAGAAACAGGCCAGGCCCAGTTGCAGGGAGAGGACTGCAGGAGACCAGACACTTGCTCAGACCCCAGCAAGAGGTGAGGCTGTGGTCTCAGCGCTGAGGGATTTTGGACAGAGAGGAGCAGGAGCAGCACCTGGTAGACGTACAGAAAGTGCTTGCCCACATTGCTGAGAAGTTGCAGCAAACACCGACGCACTGCCTGTCTTTGTTCACACACTGCAGCTGTAGTGCAAGTCTTGTGACCACCCATCTGTCTCCATGGTCAGGATATTGACTGCCCTGGAGACAAAGGCCCAGCCATCGCCACCTCAGGGTGGGGTGTTTCTGAAGAGTCAATAACAAATCACTCCATACATTGGATCCTCAGGCCTGAAGGCGGGGCAAGAGTGGGTCAGGGGGCCTCGAGCCCAGTCCACACATGGAGATACAGTAGTGCCATGAGGCACCTGGCCGAATGAGGCCCCTTGACAATCTCCTCTCAGGGCCCTGTTGGGGTGGGATGGGGTGGTGACTGAGCACTTCCATCTCGGCTCTCCTCTTGACCCTCTGCATGGCTGGCCTGTTCAGGCCTAAACGTTCCTGAGGTCAAACCTGATCAAACCTCCAGGGCCAACGCGTTCCAGCATGGAGCAGGCATCACCCCCAAAACCAATCTACAGAGAGGAAGAAGTTCAGAGTGTCACAGAGAAGGGAGAGGAGGAGAAAGCTGTACTAGTGGCACTACAGGATGTGGTGGCTAAAAGTGACAGGTAGATCACTTGTTTTGCACACAATGATATGTGAATAGCTTTTTCACTTCATGAACCCTTGTGTTTCTCCAATCTTATGGCTGTCCCTGTCTCCGAGCAGGGTCTAAACACTTTGTAGCAGCCTGTGGCATCATTTCTTAGCCACTAATGAGGCACAGTGTGGGTGGATGGGCTGCTACGGTCACCAAATCCATCATGACACAGCAGGGGTGTGAATAGCACCAAGTCACTCCAACACCTTAGCATCCCCCACCCCCAAGTCCTCATTGTCTACTGTTCAGCTGGCTGTGAGCACAGGAGCATACATCTGAGGAAGGTGCCCAGCAATGAGTGGCAAGGAAGGTAATCGAAATGACCAATGCCACAGAATTGCCAGGGGCTAAGGACTCTGCATGCCTGTATTCCCGTGATAACGGACAAGACAATGCTGTTCCCCCTGTGAAGGCCAAGTGACCTGCTGCAGATGCAGCCCACCTCCCTTTCCATTTCCAATTTACCCTGTCCATTTGCACCATCCATTTCCTTCACAATTGGAATGACAGCTTTCAGCCTCAGCATTAACATGCCATTGAAAGCCTACCATCACCTTGTCCTTTCTAAGTGCCCATTCCAACTCCACAAACTGCACATTTCGTTCAAACTGTGCACACGTGACTATAACTGCATACCTGTCCCCAAAGTTTCCCCAGCCCTTCCTTTGCCCATGTACCCAAAAAACATACTGTCCCCACTGCTTGGCCCTTGTCAAGACAAAGGGTTGACTACAACCCATCTCCTGGAGCACAGAGGTATAAGACCCTGTGCAACATCACCCTGACTGGCTGTACATGGCTGACGCCCAGGACTGGTACAGGAGGCTGCTCTTGACTAATTATGCGGGGCCCCACTTACTGTTGAATCCTACCCTACAGAAGACCCCCACAATTTTCAGAAATAGCTCAGTTTGCTACAGATGCTGTGTGTTTGGCATGAACATGGAGGCTACATGGAGCAGGTACTAGAATGACATAAGGCAAGATGGGTGTGCTCTTAACTAAGGACTGCTGCACAGCACAGCCATCTGCCTGGTTGTGGGACTGTGCCAAGGTAAGGTGTGCTGCAGGTATTCTGGTAGACCCCAGGTGAATTCATGCAGAAACAGTGAGATAATAGCCCCGAGGCACGCCCTGCAATTGGCTCGTACCTCAGTGCTGTATTTGTTCCTGAAGAAGCTGTACACTGCTGGCTGCCAGTGAGCCCTGCTAGACCAGTCTGTCCTCCAACAGGGATGGAGAGGGCAGTGCACTGGAAGATGCCAGATTGCTATCTCGAAGCAGAGTGCCAATGTCAGTGGTGGAAGGGTACGTGCGGCTGGTGCTGGTAGATCATGCCCTGTTCTGCAGTGTCACCCTAGGCAAGACGGAGCTTTTTGGAGCAGTGAGTTGAACCAACACAAGGTGTTTAATAAGCAATGAGCATTAATTGTCCTCCATATAACTGATTGTGTTAATTTCACTGTTTAGTGCTGTTACTTGTATTTCTTGTTTTATATTTACCTTTTGTAATTAAATAAGTGCAGAGATTCTTTTGCCCTGAAACACCTGTCTTCTGCCTTCTTGCCTTCACATTCCCTAAATAAGTCGTGTCAGAATCAGGGATGTGGGGGTGATTTGAACCATCTAAAATCAGCAAAATACTGATTACAAACCAGACTCCTACAGGATGAAACTGACAATGTACGGTGGTCCAACAGAAAACCCTCTGGTCCTTTAATGGTAAGAATATCTTTTGAGCAGCATGCTGAAATAAATCCACAGTGGGCAGTCAAGAAAATATGCATGAAATGGTTTTACTTTGAACTACACCTGTGTATAGGGCAACTCTGCCAGTTTACGACTTGATAAACAAGACTGAACCTCACAATGTTTTAACCCTGGCTTCAGGATTGATGAGGATAAATGCCACAATTTCACCTGGCTATTGGGTTGGCAGACTTCTCAACAATGCAATATAGTTACTGCTGTCAGCATGTCTAGGCTTGAAGCACCGAGCCTCTGAACACCTAGTTCCCCAACACTGTGCTAGCATTTCAGAAGAATGTGTGCTTGTAAATTGTATAGAGCACGCATTTGATTCACTTTATTAAAAAGGAGCTTTTTGCTCCAATATGGAACCCAGAAGAACCATAAAATGGCTACTGCCAAATACTCTAGTATAAAGCTACTTCTGCTAGACCAGACTTTCACTGCAGTGCTGCAGAGTCTAGTAATCAAACCAATAAAATAAGTCCTGACTTGTATGTTGGCAAATAGACAATACTTTTAAAAAAACGCCTCATTTTGGTTATACACTGGT